GTTTAGGGTTTAGGGCTTCTGGAACCAAACTACCTTGCATGAAGCCCCAGCGTCCTGATTCCAGTTCCACACATTGAATACGTTGTTCTTCAAGTAGAGCATCTTCCCGGGCGAGTCGGACTGAGAACCGGTGACAAGCCTCAACTTGCATTTTCTGTCAGCACTTTTGCTGTGAAAGCGACCCTTCTTGGCCTGTGTCGTAGCCTTGGGATTGTTACACAGCTAAGTGCTGCTGGAACCCCGCGATGGCAGCACAAATGCATGCATGGTCATATCACAGGGATCCAAGTATGCAAATACTATCTACATTGGACCCTAAAGTCTGTAAATATCACCTGCATTGGGCTGTTTTGGATCCCTAGAGATATTTTGTTTGTATCTATATGTCGAAAGCAGCCTGCTCTCTGGAGACACAGGGACCCGAAGTACGGCGTGAGCTGAGGTACTTCGTCCTCCATACCCAATGTACTTATGATCCAAGGTTTGACTTATTATATTTCTATACAATTTGTGTTATTGACTTACCATTCCTATCTCACTATATAACAAATTCTATAGATTACTATATTACTGTATTTTGAACCTTAAACCCTAAACCCTAAACCCCTAAACTTTGTCGGACTGAGGAAGCTCAGGAGCCAGTAGTCCCCATCGCCATTCCTTGACCCACATTAATCTAGGAAGAAAAAAGGATCCTTTTTACCTAAATATAAGGAATCCCATACCCCAAAAAGTATAAAGGAGCCCTAAACCCTATAATATCCCTATAATATCCTATATGACCCCTATATCCCCCTTTAAGGGATCCCTAACATTGATCCAGATTCGACCTCAAAGTCCACCGGCTTTCGGGAGCAAAGTTGAAGTTGTAAACATCGGTGCCACCCGCCTGCAGCCACGCGGTTTACGGTTTTAGGGGTCTTCTCAGCTGACTTAGAGACTATCCTGGGAACATTAGCTAGTGAGCTTCTGCCGTGTGAAAGCCAATTTTTCCCAAACCAGCAGCCAGCCACCACATCAGCCACAGTATCTAGAGAAGAACCTTGCTGGCCAAATTGCATCCTAGCCCCTGAAGGTACTTGGACCCTTCCGTAATGCAGCTACCCCTGGTTCACCTTGGCATTGTAGCTGAGTCTTCTGAGAGGAAAACCCGTTACGTGGAGTCATGACGTGCTTGAGTTCTCAATGCACACTTCGGTCCGCTCTAGTAAATGAGAATACATCTATGAAATACGAGGCTACCCGAGAAGCTGCAGTGTTGACGAAAGTTCATGAGAAGTTCTGCGACCTAGACAGGACGGCAGAAAATGCTACGGGATAGACCAAGAAAAACTCTCCGAGCAATGCAGATACAACTGGCCGCTTCCACACCGCACACAATGAGCACATAAGGGGTAAGTCTGGCAATGAACTGCAACATGCGTTGTCATCAGCTATATTGTAACAGCTTGCCTATGCCAGTGTGAGAGGGGCTTACTTCAGGAAACACAAGTTGAAATTGGCTGGAGCAAGCCTATCTATGTTCACTATAATTTACTATATCATACTATACTATACGCTTTCACATAGTATAGTCATAGTCGTAAACATGTAGGGGATGCATCTTTTTGAACACCATAGTGCTGAGATACGTTGCATGGTGGAGAAGAGGTGCCCATCAGAACCCATGACCCAAAAGGCAGAAATCATTACGTACTCCTAGTATACTATATTGTACTGTAGTATACTATGATAAACTATATACATTATTAGATGATACCATACTACTATATAATATAATGCAGTGTATCATAGTATGGTCATAAACATGTAGGTGGCTGCGATCTCTGCGGCAAGGAGTGCTTAGTCTTCCCCCTAAAGGGGTCTTGGCGTATGCAGCACCCATATGAGCAAACTCCCAGTATGCCCTTAATAACTGGGGTTAGGGACTATGGGAATATGGGGGTTATATGGGGATAATGGAAAAGAAAATGGAAGCTACTAGATTATAATAGGGTATACATTGGGCTTATATAAGCTGTAGTCTAAACTCCTAGCATGCACCTTCTTTATAAGAGTCCCCTATATAAACTCCTAGAAGCCCCTTTGAGGAGTTAAGACTACGGCTCCTCTAGAGCCCTACGGGCAAAACCTCTCACTATTGTACATGGACCTGGCGTGATCCCTTAGGGTTTAGGGTTTAAGGTTTAGGGAATTTGAGAGTTTGGGTGTGCTCGCTACCGTAATAATCGGTGGAACTGCAGTATGCCTACCAGGGCGCAAACCCGAAACCAGAATCCAGTAAACCTAGACCTCTCTATGCATGCTTATATACTTATAGGTGTATATATGTCTGCATCGGCCTTCCAGAAAATCATCTTGTTTTCGTACCCGTGGTGAGGTTCCTTCGTCACGATCCAAACTTCGGCTGGATTTAGCCTGCCGGGGCTGGAGGTGGGAGGCTTACCCTAAAAGCCCAGTAGGTCCTGGGTTACAGATCATATAAATAGGGACTTAAGGACAGGAACCCAGTATATAGGTAACTGGGCTTCTAGGGTTAGGGCACGGGCTTTGGGATTTAAGGTCTACGATTTAACGTTTAGCAGTTTAGCAGATGGAACATCTAACGGAACATGACATGAATGCTGCGGCAAAAGATGTTGCTGATCTAGGGTCTGAGGCTTAGGATTCAATGTTGCAGGATTTGTGTTTTTTTTTTTTGACGGGTCAAAGTGTAAGGCTTTTGGGCTCAAGGTTGAGGGCTCAGGCTTTCAGGACCCTAATCCAAAGGCACACACGTGCCTTTAAAAATGTTAGTGCTTTCTGTAACGGTAGCTCTGGGTCAACCTACGTTATACTGCTCTTGTAAACGGGGTGTTTCCAACCCATAAGATTTAACCTGGGCCAGTGCCGGAAAAGCGCTCGATCTTCTATCTACCTACTCGGGCCGGGTCGCTACCCCCTAACCCAAATACACATGGAACCTGGATCAGGCCCTCACCCGCTTGGAGTATCTGCCAGAAATTAGAACCATTGTCTTTGTGTTTGCTCGTAGTGGGTGGGCACCCAACCTGATGTTTATATGGAACCCTGAAAACAACAAAACACTGCTGAACAATGTCGGCGTGACATGAAAGGCTTGATCCTTGGACGCTCCGAGGTGCTTAAAAGAGGTTCTTCATGACAGGGTTGCTGCTGAGGAACTTTGACTTACGGGCAAAAAGAAACCATGTCATATGGGTGGTTGTCAAAATTATGGTCCTTTTTGGGTCCCTATTATAATACGGCACCTAATATTCCGGGTACCCAAAAAGGGACCATACTTTTGACATCCTCCCATATCAGCATTATGGCAACCTTAGCCTAAGTTCCTTTGCCGCGGCCCTTGCCTGCGCTCGTTGTTCAGGATTTGGTAGGTTGTTTTGAAGATCAAGGATCTTGGGACTAAGAAGTTGATTGAGACCGATGTTTGTCAGCGTTTGCCGGTGTCATCTGCGCAACGGTAGGGTTGAGGAGGGGTTGAGGAGCGGAGGGTGCAGGCTGAAGCAGCTCGTTCCACTTGCAGGCTGCACATTGGGAGGGGTTCTCTGTCTCTGGGAGGGAGTGGAGTGGCATTGATGCCAGGTGCCTATCTAGGTTCCCAAATTTTCGACACTGGCTACAAGCCTTCGTGAAAAGATTGAAGGATGTCTTTTTGTCTTTTCTATTTTTCAAGACTTGCGAAAAAAGGGCAGGACCTGCTAAATCTTTGCCATGTGTGTATAGCCGCACACCCTAAGACCTAAACATCCCTAAACTCTAAACCGTAGAACAAAAGCAAACGCCCTATCAAGCCAAGTCGCGCAAAGGCTGTCGGCCCAGTTGCCGGCTCCAAGCGGAACTTGCAAAGAGGGTCGGGGCTGAAGGTCCAGAAGCTCCAGCCAGAGTCCGTGAGGTACATCATCTTCCCTGGACCGTGGAGGGAATATAGGGGGAATATAGGGGTTATGTAGTAATATAGGGGGAATACAGTAGGTTTGGGGTTTAGGGTTCCGGGCTCACGGGTTTAGTGGCAATTAACGCGAACATGAACGTTGATATCCCCATGCATAATCAGAGCGACCGCGCTTGTGCCTAGCTATCAGTGGGGGAAGCTTCCCAGGCAAAGGCCTAATCCCAAACATGTTGAAACCTTACGAGGCAACGCGATCGGCCGCATCTGCCTGGTAACCCCGCAAAGATGTGTGCGTGCGTGTGCATGTGAGAGATCAATCGCTTCACACTAACATGAAACAACATGCCCCCAACATCAAAGGTCCACTATGTGGAATATGTAATACAAGGGGTGGGAGGATGTGTTCATACCTATAATCCCAGTTTCCACGTCATTTTCCAATTCGATTCTCCATCGTTCCCCCTGAGCCCTAAATCCTAAACCCAAAATCCCAAAGCCTAAAACCTAAACCCTAACTAGTAGTTTCCGTTTTCTTTTCCATGATCCGTATACGACCCTTATACTAGTATGAAGAGATTAATTAGACCAGATCCCTGGCTCCCGCGTTCCTATGCGAGCTTCTTCAAAATAAGTGTTTCTCAGTGCTCCTACAATGTGCAGGTTTATGAAGGGATTATGGGGGATTACTATTCTATACAGGATATTCGCCGAGGCTATCCAGCCTCAGGGCGTTCAGAAGCATCTAAAAAACCACCCGTACCCCGCCGTTTGCAGACCTGCTCGCTCGTGGCGACCCCCCCTCCCC